CCGTCTTCAGGTGAAAGGTACAGACCACTTCCCAATGTCGTATCGACTGCACACTTGGTATACGTATGTCATGCTGATAATACTATATTCTATCATTAAAAATTAAAAATACATATTTTTAAGCAATCTTTTTATTTCTTATGTTTCGGCTTGGGCATCATTGTCCACGCTGAACTCACGTTGGCTGTAAATCACCATGGTTCCCCTTACGTTATGGCAAGCTTCGGGGCCACTTCCTGGAATCGTGGAGTTCTGCCATTACTCGTACGGTACATTTCATTAAAGCGTGTTTAAAAAAAAAAGTATTTTTAAATATTACTTATTTTGAGCAGAACACTGACTGTTTGTTTATAGGCATTACTGAATATACATGGTATAGTGAGTTAATGTTTTAAGGTGAGGGTTTGTAAACTTGAAGCCAGCAAAGGTTTTTGGAGTGGCCTGCCCAGGATATGAGAAACAGATTAGTGAAATGAAACGGAGATAAACGCGTGAAATAGACGAGCGCTGTGGATAAGGTATACACTCGTAAGATTTCAATATTTTAAATAAGAGCTAGAGATGAGAGATATATATATAGACACGAGACGGTGAGATGAAAGAGAGATACACTTGAGATAGAAATTAGCGATAAAAATTTTGGGAAACTGAGACCTGATGGCAAGGTGTGCATAGTGGTCGCATTTCTAGACTTAAACGTCATATTAAATAAATTGTATTATACCAGGTAAGGTGCACTGAGATATATAGTGAGGGAAAAAAGTATTTGATCCCCTGCTGATTTTGTACGTTTGCCCGCTGACAAAGAAATGATCAGTCTATAATTTTAATGGTAGGTTTATTTGAACAGTGAGAGACAGAATAACAACAATTCCAGAAAAACGTATATCACAAATGTTATAAATTGATTTGCATTTTAATGAGGGAAATAAGTATTTGACCCCCTCTCAATCAGAAAGATTTCTGGCTCCCAGGTGTCTTTTATACAGGTAACGAGCTGAGATTAGGAGCACACTCTTAAAGGGAGTGCTCCTAATCTCAGCTTGTTACCTGTATAAAAGACACCTGTCCACAGAAGCAATCAATCAGATTCCAAAATCTCCACCATGGCCAAGACCAAAGAGCTCTCCAAGGATGTCAGGGACAAGATTGTAGACCTACACAAGGCTGGAATGGGCTACAAGACCATTGCCAAGCAGCTTGGTGAGAAGGTGACAACAGTTGGTGCGATTATTCGCAAATGGATAAAACACAAAAGAACTGTCAATCTCCCTCGGCCTGGGGCTCCATGCAAGATCTCACCTCGTGGAGTTGCAATGATCATGAGAACGGTGAGGAATCAGCCCAGAACTACACTGGAGGATCTTGTCAATGATCTCAAGGCAGCTGGGACCATAGTCACCAAGAAAACAATTGGTAACACACTACGCCGTGAAGGACTGAAATTCTGCAGCGCCCGCAAGGTCCCCCTGCTCAAGAAAGCACATATACATGCCCGTCTGAAGTTTGCCAATAAACATTTGAATGATTCGGAGGACAAATGGGTGAAAGTGTTGTGGTCAGATGAGACCAAAATGGAGCTCTTTGGCATCAACTCAACTCGCCGTGTTTGGAGGAGGTGGAATGCTGCCTATGACCCCAAGAACACCATCCCCACCGTCAAACATGGAGGTGGAAACATTATGCTTTGGGGGTGTTTTTCTGATAAGGGGACAGGACAACTTCACCGCATCAAAGGGACGATGGACGGGGCCGTGTACCGTCAAATCTTGGGTGAGAACCTCCTTCCCTCAGCCAGGGCATTGAAAATGGGTCGTGGATGGGTATTCCAGCATGACAATGACCCAAAACACACGGCCAAGGCAACAAAGGAGTGGCTCAAGAAGAAGCACATTAAGGTCCTGGAGTGGCCTAGCCTGTCTCCAGACCTTAATCCCATAGAAAATCTGTGGAGGGAGCTGAAGTTTCGAGTTGCCAAACGTCAGCCTCGAAACCTTAATGACTTGGAGAAGATCTGCAAAGTGGAGTGGGACAAAATCCCTCCTGAGATGTGTGCAAACCTGGTGGTCAACTACAAGAAACGTCTGACCTCTGTGATTGTCAACAAGGGTTTTGCCACCAAGTACTAAGTCATGTTTTGCAGAGGGGTCAAATACTTTTTTCCCTCATTAAAATGCAAATTAATTTATAACATTGTTGACATGCGTTTTTCTGGATTTTTGTTGTTATTCTGTCTCTCACTGTTCAAATAAACCTACCATTAAAATTATAGACTGATCATTTCTTTGTCAGTGGGCAAACGTACAAAATCAGCAGGGGATCAAATACTTTTTTCCCTCACTGTATAGCTCCTTTTCACAAGTAACCTGGCCAGAAATGACAGCTGAACGAAGTAGCTTATGTGGAAATTTCTAGCAGGCAAATACTTCTAAATGCATGCTTTTAAATGTAGATGGAAAAAGCAGAGGACCCGGAAAAAAAATCCACGTGACCCTGGGGAAAACATGCAAACTCAAAATATACAGACATCAAGGTCGGGATCGAAACCTGTGACCATCTGGATACCAGGCGAAGTAATTAATATCTCCCCACCATGGCACGTCATAACGTCTGTATGTGTCAACACTTTGAATTGAAGGCATCGTCTGACATGACGTCACATGGCTCACTGGCAGACACTAGGTTTTATTATGTGACCCTGCAAAATATATAGTTGAAGAACCCTGCTTTCGGCAATGGCCATTGTCCATAGTTCAGAGCTGAAAGTGAGGGCAGCCAGAATATTTCAACTGACTTCATCTTGTCGCCGGAGGCAGCGTTTAAACAATGCCATAACTGTGCCAAGCTTGTTATGCATTGAACCCGGCCGACATAAGTTCATCAGATCGTTGATCACAGCAGCTGTGGCGGGTGATATCTGAAGCAGTCCTAGGGCCCCCCCCCCCCCCCCCCCCCTGCTTTACCATCCCACACTGACTAGCGTGGTGAAATACGGTCAAAGAACCACCGTGACTGGCAAGATGTGGGGAGACCTTCATCCAGCAGTGGCTGGACACTGTCAAAATTATTATTGTAGCCTTAAACGGTGGGAAATGTATAGATCGTTGAGATTTGGAGCCATTCGGATAGTGCCTTTGTAGTGCACCTTGCTCGCCAACTTCAATTGATTAGTGTAAATTAAGTACGTGTAAGGATTTGCACATCCAATTTCCATGTGCCGAAAAGTTATATTAATTGTATGGCTTGTCACCAGCTGGGCTCGCGATCCAACTCGAGAGTCGATCATTTTTTCTCTCAGTTTTTACCCTTCGCGTTTGTATTTTTCCTTTTTTTCCGTCTCGTTTTCATGGGTTTGTTTGCTTGTTTCAACTCGATGTAACATGAGCATACCGTTTGCGTATAATTTGCGTATAATGTGAATAATTTATTTCCACAAGCTCTGTTGCAATGCGTGCGTGCTGGCTGTTGACCGGCATCTCTTGACACTCGTTGAATTTGGAGATATTTTTTTTACTTTACCTCATACACCGTCATAGTAGATGAAATAAAAGTACAGTCCTTTGTCAATCCACTGCTAGATTAAAGCATTCCCAATGCTTGCAGACCTGGAGGTGGTGTTGAAAGTGCAGTGCCCTAACCACTGTGCTACCTGCTCCTCATTTTTGTAGATACTAGGTACCAGAAAAGGTCTTTAAATAATCATCAATATCAGGCAGAATACCTCACCAGAAAGGATGATGGCCAATGTACGAAAGTTGTGATGGATTGGCGGTCGGGGGAAAGGGGGTACATGCCCAAAATGATGAGGCTGTGGAGCTGTAGGAAGGATTATATCTGCCTTCATGTGTGGGAGCTGGAGTTGGGTTTGTAGCATTGCAGGTCCATGACATTTGGTAACGGCTTGAAAGGGGGCCTTCATTCGGCAGTATATAGATCGTGGATGATGATGATGACGTAAGGGAAATAATGGCCTCAGGGTGTTACCTTCAAGACAATAACATTCGTACAGCCTTGTGGGAGGTCAACATTGGATGTCTTTTGGAGGGACTGGACCCCACCAAAGGAAATGTGAAATTTGCCCCTGGCATTAATGACATCAGTGGCACACTGTGCAGAATGCGCGCGTGCGATAATTGGCAGAATGAACTTATCTTCATGTCGCTGTAAACATTGAATGCAGAGAAAAGTTATTTTACTGACGTAGAGGCGTGATGAATCATCATCACATGCGAGACACTTGGGTTGTGATCGCTGAAAATCTTGTGACCGCTTGATGGCACGAGACTTTATATCGAGCAGGCGGATGAACCGCCTGCGAGTTTTATTTTGTCTGCCGTGAACTTTTCGCCAAACGGCTTCGTCGAGATATTTTTTGTTTTTAAGTGCTGGTGTGGCAGTACCGGGGGATTGGTGTGGGCAGCTGGACTTATTTGAGAGTTGTGTGTTGTGAATGGCATTGTGGGTAAAGGAAAAAGGTACAGGTGCAGCTCTGAAATTATTCCCTCGTGTTACAGCTGGCAGGAGGGCCTCCACTAGAGGCAGTGCTAATGTAGGGCCCTTCTCGAGGGTAGTTTTACCTTCTCTATGCCAGCCAGACATTTTGTAAGCGATCGGAGTACCCACACTTTATCCCACCACATGTGACCTATCATTCGAATAACTGTGGTCAACCCAATTATACTACTTGGTTGACAGGCGTGGGGTGGGAATTGTATCAACTTGTTGCGTCGACATTGTGTGGGTAGCTGAGCTAATGAAGTGATGTCTGTAGCCATGGCATTGTGGGTAGCCGAGCTCATTGAGTGGTGTAGTTGATAATGGTATTGTGGGTAACCGAGCCAAATGAGTGGTTAGGTGATGCTGGGTGGTGTGAAGTTTACTGTTGGTCGCGTTCCTATATAAATGTGGGCAACAATGTCTATTGAGTAACGCCTCGTTGTGTTAGGTGCGCGAAGCGTGAGCGAGTGTAATGCATGCGCATGTACATGTCTGCACGACAGCACCAAGTGGACCGAGGAAGAGATGAGGTTGCTGCACTCTGCCGTGAAGAGGTTTGGGGAGGACCTCAACAACATCAGCAGAATAATCAAGGACAGGACTGTGTAAGTGTGAGCGAGGGGGTGGGGGGGGCCGTGGCGTTTACAGCGTTCGAGAGAGGAAGAGTTCGCTTTGAGTCCGTTGGCATCTGCCGGTTTATTAAGGACTCGCTGTTGATTGGATCCTCACGCTGAACAAAGAACGCGCAAGTGAACCTCGAATCCACGTTTATCTGGCACATTCAGTTTTGTATGTTGAACTTCTTTCGCACCGTATGTAGCCAACCTTGCTCATCGGAGGTGCGGGGGAGGGACAATAAACAAAGCACAAAGAGCAGATCTGAAGAAATTCATTTTGATACATTTCGTTTCATCCGGAATAGCATTTCACTCTCAGGTCCACTTGATAGGGGAGGGTACTACCATTTCCCATGGTCCTGTGATGCAGCGGCAATCCACCCAGCAGCGAAGTCATCACTCCAGCTCTGCAGTGGAGCACCCTCTTGGTGGGGGTGGGGGGGGGGGGGGCGCATTCATTCTCCCCTTTGGCTGCCACTTAGCCACTTAGTTGTTCTTCTCACTTACAGGGCCATCATCCCTGCTCTTGATCTGCTCTGCCAAAGCCCACTGGCGCTTTGGTGGAAGGGATGACGACCGGTGGTCGAGACTAACGACGGGAGTGGCAGCCAAAGGAAGGGAAACGCGCCCGCGAGGCCATCCACAAACTTGGATGGAGCGGTGAAATCAGCTCGGGCGCTCGATGGATTTGCTATTTTGGCAGACCGTAAGAGTTGGCGACTGCTTGCGGAGGTCTTCCAGCAGTGGAGAGATCATGACTGATTATACTGATGAGCCACTTGACCCCATCACGTGGGCTTCTTTAAAAAACAAAATACTCGATGCAAACCTTCCGCTGCCCTCTTAATGCTGTAGACTGAAAGGGGCCGGGTTTTACCTTGGTATTTTCATGGCACAGCGTAATTTATTTTTCATACACAAGAAAATAAATACTCTGTGGACAAGAATGACCACAATTTGTTTAAGTTATTCTACGTAGATGTGTTTACATTCAATACTCAGTCAATATTTCCATGGCCTTTTTAGTCTGGGGGAACTGTGTGACATCATATTTGTTTTTTTATTTAAAGCTTTCGTGACTGCAGGGATTCATATTCTTGGTTCTTTCGGTAAAGTCACGTAGAAGGGAAATAATAATAAACTAATACATTTTATTGTTTCCCTTCTACGTGACTTTACCGAAAGAACCAATAATATCGTATTTGTATGTCTGTAAATATGCACGAATTTATGCCCAGTTGCTGAGCATTCACCAGTGGATTGCCAAAACCTGTGCATGTTTATGTAATTGTACTAATATGTACGGTGTTATTCGTCCATTTCTTGCAGTACGACGAGTGAACTTGCGTGTTTATTCCTTGGTTTTGTTAACAGCTCGATCATATTGTGCAAAGAGATAAGATCGTCAGGTCCGTGTGTGGTGGATTAAAGTGTGGGCTTCTCGCACCACTTCCACGGCATTTGGATATCGCAGAAGAGTTGGCCAAAAAACCCATCTGGAGGGGCACTCTTTAGTGGAAGCCCATACACCAGCAGTGGTGTGAGCAAGTGATTGCAGTGCTGCACTTTTTTACAACACGTTGTTACCCGCAATGTTTAGCACAGCGGATGCTCACAATACTTGGCGTGGCGATGTGCCCGCTGCCGTTTTGCACCGTGTTGTTTGCGAGATGGGATTGCGAATTCATAATGCCGACGTTTTCAATATTTGTGACTGAGATGCACGGTTGGCTACGTACGATGCGAAAGATGTTCAGCATGCGTCCGTTGTGCTGGTAATTTTTGTGAATGTGTTCATATGGGATGATGTGAAAGATGTTCAGCATGCGTCCATTGTGCTGGTAATTTTTGTGAATGTGTTCATATGGGATGATTTTTTTTATAAACACTTTTTTAGTGATGCGACTAATGCATGAAGTGGCAGCAGAGCGGGTGGGAAAGTTCTGCATTCTACTGTGTGCTTACTTAAGGGTAACTTAATGACACCTCAGGATAGCTCTAATATCGGTGGTTGCGCTGCTGTGCGAGGGATTCAAGTTAATGCTTCATCTCATGACCCGACACCGATGGGATTGTCGTGAGATCAAATATAAGAAATGCATTGCATATGTCTTGGTGTGTGTGCATGCAGTCCATGTAACATCTTCCAAAATGCTCAACGTATACGACATTATGGAGTAAATAGGGGTTATGTCGGTGTCAAGTCGGGCTGTGTTAACGCGGAGACGAATTCTGCCCGGGAATGTATCGTAACACTGGGAAATGTACGCAAGTCGGAGCAACGCTGTGGTCAAGATGTCACGGCGTGGCTGTTTGCGCTTTCGAAGGTTTGCGTTTGAAGTCCACGCTCATGGTCGTGGCAGCCGAATGTGCATTTAGGTCCAAGCTTGCGTCCTTAAACTTTCCAAACCCAAGGCACTTGCCATTTGTGAGTTCACTGCTGGATGTATGCCTCGCCACGACGTGTCGGTCGGAGGTGTTGCATGTGGGGCATTTATTCTAATTAATTATCAGCCATGAAGCCTCGCGGTCTCCAATGCATCGGTCCATCCCGCCTCCTGCACGAGCCGACCTCTTTGCCCTATGTCCGCGGTGGACTTCCTCTCGGGCGCGTTCCCTCCTTTGGCTGCCACTCCCATCGTTGGTCTCAGCCGTCGGCCACCATCGCGTCTACCGGCACGTTCCGCCTCCGAGCCCAGCCAACATGTCTCCGACTTGCCTCTGCACTGTGATCCGTGTGTTCCTCTTCCTTTGCCTTGGCGTTATTCCAAGTATGCACATCTCTCTTCGCACGTAATTTTGTTTTTTGTTTTTAAATTGTGAATGCTCCTGTGGAGCGTTACAGGTCCTAAATTAACAGACTTATTTCTGTCCTCTAAAAAATAATGTATTTTTCTGAGCTGGCTGGTTAGCTTCGGAGGTTATTGCGCTGAACTGGCATTCTTTGAGGTCCTTTGTTCAAATACAGGCAGCTGCCTGCGATTAATCTTAGTTCTCAAGTGAAGTGAGTTGATGGTCCCTTCAAACATTGCTCACATGTGGCAGGATGGGTGGGTAAGTGCTTCCCCCTGACTGTGTGGACTCGAGGTCACTTGCCAGGGATCTCAAAAGGAGTTCTGTGATCTCTGCTTTGGCGAGCCGCTCTCTTAACACGAAGGGATGTACTCCTCTGCGAGAGATCCAAATGGATTCATCATCACATAACACCAAGAGCAAAATCGGGATGAATTGAGGGGGCAGGGAGTGAAGATAAAACAAAACAACATTTAACGTCCTCTTTTTCTTTTAGTCCCATTTACCCCAGGGCCTTCTGACTACGATTCCCAACCCCTCTGTGACCCCCGCCCTCCCGCGACAGGGCCCAGATTAAGTCAACGCTCAAGCGCAAGTCCTACGAGGAGACGGGGTTGCCCCTGCCCACCGAGTCGCCCAAGAAGTCGCCCAAGAAGGCGGCCGGGGGCACCGGCTCTGCGGCGTCGGCCGCGGGCAGTGCCACGGGCTCCAGCGCACTCAGCGCCGCACACCGGCTCGCTGAGGCCGCAGGAATCAAGAAACAGAAAACCTCATCTGGTAAGCAGTTGTGGCGGTGTACGGGGGCGAAGGGTGGCAGTGTGGGGCCAGGATGGTGGGGTGGGGTATGGGGGAGGGGTGATTCTGGTGGCGTGGGCAGTTTGCGTGCTGCGCTATGAACCCGGCTCGCGGTCGACACCAGTGACGATTATCTGAGCCGGTCCTGGGCCTCCCCTAGGTTCACTCGGCCGCAAATGATTAGCACATGTGGCGTGTGACTTTCTAAGCCACCCCACCCCCCCATCCCTGCCAGTCGGCCACCTGGCAACACACACAACGCATGCAACACGCGTCGCTATTAATATTGAGCGAGCAACTCTCATTAACAATGATGGGGGGCGGGGGGGGGGGGTGTGCTTGTGGTCCAGCCTCTCCTGTACTGCCGTGGTATTTAATAACATTGCTTTAGCGTCAGTCATTGCTTCGCAATAAGGTGGGGTGAACTGGACTGACCCGATGGGCGGCGTGCAAAGTGTAAAGTATTCCTCGTGTGAATCTTGCTGTGTGTGGGGTGGGAGGGGAGAGGTGAGCACTGCTGATCTTGCCGGTGGTTTTGTTGTTTTTGTAATGAGGTTTCCTTGAGGTCTTCCTGTGCGAGTCGGGGCTGCTAAGCCCCTGCGGCAGAATCGCTCCGCGGCCAAACCGGTCCCGCGCCATCCGGCGCAAGAGAATCTTCGCTCGGGCCCCATCCTCGTGCCCGCGCTCGAAACTTCAACAATAAACCACGCTAATGACCGAAGTTTATTAGCGATGGGTTTTTGTTTTAGTGTTTCGATTATTATTAGCATCATCGTCATGAGCCAATAACCAAATCTGGCAGAAATGCACCCCACCCTGTCAGATCTTGGAAGCTAAATCAGTGTTGATCCTAGATAGCCTCTTGATAGGTGACCACTCTGCGCAACAGGTGTTCTTGGCCGCGAGCGGCAGGCGGCAGTGCAGAATTCATTGCCGGACTTCTCTGCCAAAAACACGTCTCTGCTTGCGGCCGTCGCCAAACCGCCTTGACGAGCTTGGTGAGGTGTGGTCAAATAACGCCAAAGATCTGCATGGCGTTGTGAGGCCCTCATCCAGCAGTGGATTCGCATAACTGCCGTAAATGTACACGTAAATGACCAGTGTAGTTAAGTTGGTGATCCTCCAATAGCTGCAATAAAAACCCCATCACATCACAATAAATGTGGGGCGGGGCTTTGTCATGTGGATAGATTCTAGCTCGGAGCCGTCAACATTTTTTTTTTACTTGGCACAGGGATGCGCTGCTAGTTGCAGAGCTCGAAATGCAAATGTATGTCTTGTGACATGACACTGATGGCACAATCGGAATATAATTGGGAGGGGGGGGGCAGGAGTGGATAAGCAAAACTAAAAAAAAACTTGTGTGGGCTTAAAGAGAGAGAGAGCTCTACAATTGCCAGGCAAACTCACCGAAACAATAAGAGGTGGCCAAAATGTTTATGCCACACAGCTGTGCAATTCACTTCCGAAGCTCAACGAGGGTTTAGAAACACGCAGGTGAAGTTGAACCTGCAGCCCTGCTTCGAATGCCTTGCTCGGGCCCCTGCTGGTGGAAGGTCATCCATTGTCGGGGAGCGCTATAAAGAGCTCTCCCCTAAGAGATTATCTTGACCAACTCTTCCACGCCGGTTCGACATCTTTGAAGAGGTGAAAGTACCTACACTTGATCATCATCATCATCAATACCCGCGACCTGCCCACGCACTAACTGCGGTGGTGCACCCGTTTCTTATTTTTTTTACTATTTTTATTTTACCAGGTAAGGGCCACTGAGCTATATTGCTAATTTCCCAGAAGCGACCTGGCCACAAATGATAGTTCAACAAAGTGGCTTACCGTGTGAAAAAAACTGAGGACCCAGAGAAAAATGCACGCGACCACGGAGAGAACGCGCAAACTCCAAATATACAGCAGGCGTCAGGGTCGGGATCGAACCCATGACCTCCTGTGTACAAGGCGAGGTAGTTAATATCTAGCCACCGCGGTGCCCCCTTAGGTCACCGTTTTTGCTGCCGGGTTAACAGAGGCGGTGCGAGGCGCTAATTGCTTTGACCTCAAAGCAGCTGTTGAACGAATAAGCCTCAGTGTCGCCTTGGCTGAAATGTTGAGCGCCACGTGCGGCAGAAGCATTTAAATTGCGCAGGAAGTGACGGGCAAACAGCTGACCGCCAAGGCACTGACGGTTCCGTGTTGTTATCGAGCCGTGCAACGATGACTGGACCGAGTCACAAGGCTCGCAAGCCTCAGCAACGTTGCATCATCGTCACCACTATTTTGGGATTATTTTTTTTTCTGCCGTTGAATGCAAATGAACGAATGTGGCCGTGGGCGCACAATGCAAATAATTCGCAAGGAGAAGCGATGATTGGCGAGTGCGGTTTGTTTTTGGCCATGCGCCATTGTTGAACATGAGCAACGTGTTAAATAAAAACAACAACCTGCGTCATAAACTGCGCCATAAATAACCGCCCCCGTGTACAATAACAATTCATACATCTTCTATGACGATCTGTCCGGAAGCTATATTCTATTGAAAATTATAAGGGCAATTGTGTGGCCCTGAAATTCCTTCCTCAAGCCATTGCTTGTGGGAATGATGGAGAGGGCCCTAATTGGGTATTTTGGTCTACTCTTCCACGCTGGCTAGATGTCGTGAAAGAGGTGGGAGTATCCACGCTCTACCGCACGACTTACTGTGGGTGGTACCCGTTTTTACTGCTAGATGGACAGGAATTTCAGAAGCTGTCGATGTGTGGAACGCTCCGTCGTGCTGACCGCCACAAAAACGCATCGGAGAACTGAGCAATTGCATAACCCGTGAGCGGCGCTGTGCCAGCCGCGGCGACTGCGTTCATCTTCGGAAGAGAATGCGTCGGATCTCGCATCAACGCCTTGAGTACGCAGGGCAGAGCGTCATATTGGTGCCATGACCTCCACCCCCCACCCCCATACATTCTAACAAATGGCTTCGAGAGATGAGCCAGCAGTGCGTGAGCTCACGACAGCGTGAGCTCTGTCACAAACATAGCGCGCTCGCGATGGCCGGCCCTCGAAGTGACGCGCAGTCGGTGGCGCTTTGGCACCAGAATGGAAAGCGATCCAAGATTGGCGAGCTCATCCGCGTGCGAGAGGTGACCAGCTTTGCTCAGGCAGCCATCCCAGCGCGAGCGACTGCGTTACAACTCGGGGCCCCCTCTCAAATGTTTTGCCGGGTGCGGCACCGGCCGTGTGAGCCCCCATAACCGAGCGCCGAATCAACATCGCTATTGAAACGCAGCAGCATAAGCGCCTGTTTTAAATCAAGAGGCCGCACTTGAAGAGGCATCACCGCACTGTGTAAAGCAGGGTTCTTCAGCTGTGACGTCGTGCGCGTGTCGCTAAGGCCACGTGGTGCTGGTGGTGGTGGTGGCGGTGTTGCGACGTGACACACATTACGTCGCGATGTCCGTACGTGCGAGCGCTGATCGTGTCCCCTCCGACAGACGTGACGCTGAGCGCCCTGAACGACACGGACGCGGGGGCGGAGCTCGTGGACATCGAAGGCCTGGGCGACTCTTCGCCCGTCAAGAAGCTCGACTTTGAGCAAGGTGACGCCGCCGCACTTGCATTCCTATGGCCGATTTCGTTTGTAAACGCTTGACAACGGTTTATCCCTTGAGCTTTGTCCGTCTGCTGAATGTCGTCCGTTTCTTCGTCCGTCAGTCCATAATGGCGGGAGGAGGGGGGGCGTGTGGCGGGGAGCACGGTAACTGCAGTTTGCGTGTAGACGCTGTGTAAATCCGCGTTGTGGCGTATTGTTCTGTTTGCCGCCGTCTTGGTTGTGAACCAGGACCGCGTGGCTGTGATGTCACTCGAGCTAGGATTTGTCACAGCCACGCTGTAAAACCTCCAGCGATGGGTAATTTATGGATTCTGAGAACAGAAAGCGCAGGGTCACTAACTCGAGGACCACTGCTCATTATACTCCACCGCTGTCTTGTCAAATCAAAATTCTTTACCCGATCCACCATGCGCTCGAATGTCAGGCTTAATTGTTGTTCATAATATAGGTTTTTTTGGGTTAGATCGCCTAAATATATAAATGTGTCGTTAAACCTGCCACCGTCCCACACAGCCAATTTAGTAAGATTTGTCGCGTAAACAGAACGTGCCAAATCGTTACCAGTACAGCATCACTGGCGTGTTGGAGAGCAAATCCACAACATTTACAATCTTTACTCAGATGATATTGGTCGCAAAAGCCCACGTGTTAATTGTTGTTGTTGTTGTTATTGTTTCCACAGACAACTTGTCCCTGGACCCGAACCAGCTCATCATCAATCCAGGAGAGATGCTGCCTCGATAGCCACTCCCCTTTGTTTGTAAAAAAAAAAATCCACAAAAGCAAAATGTAATTTCGAGTTGCCCTATCAGCATTTTTTTTTATCTATAAGAAAACAAAATACCAATCTTTAAACCGACTTCTCACAGCGCGTAGAGAGTTTGACGGTTTAAGCCTGGTCACCGATGACCACACGGTCCGTTAAGTATGGTTTTATCATTTAATTGGGCTTAACTCGGCTCTAAGAACTAAACAAAAAGTGTGGTTTGATTGCCATGCGACGAACATCCTTCGTGGCGGGTTGGAATATCACGAGACGTGCTACCTAAGTGTAAATAAGATGTTTATCAAATACTCCTTTTCCGCTGACACACGCTGGCTCTAATGCGGGGTGGGGGGGGGGGAACCCTTGCAGTATGGGTGGATCTCCGCCAGCTATCTGCCAGCTACGAGTCAAAACTAAACCTTAAAGACGCAGGCCTCCCGAAAAGCATCCGAATCTGGCTTGGAGAGGGCCGAGCTGAGCCAGCTGCAGAGTGTTGCTCCGTTGTATCACATGGCGCGTGACGTCGGCGGCATGGCTCGGGATCTGCAGTGGGGAAAGAAATACAACAGTCGTGTCACCTGAGCCAAGGCTGGACTGGCTCGGCACGGCCCCGACCGACGTTCTGGGTGTGCAGTGGAAAAAAAAGATTTTAACGTTGACTTAACAAGTAGCGCTGCGATGCCATCCACCCAGTGGTGTGTCGCTGGCAAAAGAAACGCGAGGACTGTTTCCGCCGCGAGGTGTATCCGATGGAAATGTCCTCTGCTCGTGGCACTATTGCCAGCAATGTAATTACGGACAAAATTGAGGAATAAAAGCTTCTTTTTTTTTTAATTGGCACGGTGTTGCAACCGTTTTAAAATTCCAGCGATGGCCGACGATGTAACCACGCGCCTCGTCTTGCCCCCAACTCTTTGGCTTCACTCTCCACGCTCGGCATCTCGAGGTTTGCGCGTGGATTTGGACGGCGTTTGAATCCGCGACACGTCACGCCGAGTGTTCCACGGAGCTGCTGTTTGTTGCAGGCTTCGGCCGTGTGGCGCCGACGTGCGCACGTTCCCACAGCGAGTTTGCAGCGGCGCTCCCCGGGGGCTACGTTCGTCACGGCTTCCCGCGCAATGCGTTTCCGAGTTTTCGCTAAAGATGCAAATGGAGTCGTTTTCACACACCGCACTTGCCTGATGATTGCTAATCGTCCCCACGTGACAGAAAGCACCGATTTAAAATTAAGATCGCTCTGCGTCACCTGAAACTCGCACAGCTGCACAAGATCTCTGCGTTTGTGCACGAGTTTGTTATTGTTTCCTTTTCCAATGCTGCCCCGTATTAATTGCTCTTTTTTATTACCATACAGTCCAGATTATTTAAGTAGAAAGTAGGGGTGTGTTTTATCTCTGGAATGCATTCTACGCTAGAATGTGTCTTGTTCGAGCTCAGAATAACCTTCCCGATGACATCGCTTCCCAATTTTAAAGCGGCGAGTTCATAATCACCTTCTGGAAATTGGCCGTAGTACCTGGGATTCTCCATCCACGTATTTAGTCATTTGTTTCCTGTTTTTCCTTGGATGTCATTTATTTGGGGGAAAAAAACACATGTTCACAATGACCCCAAAAGGTGGCGGGGTGTGGGGGTTCATCGTACTCTCTGGAGTGGCCTATAATCCTGAGAAGACAAGTACCGCTCTCCGTCTAAGGTTGTTACAGCCATGACGGGGAGTAGGGGGGGGGGGGGCACGAGAACTATCGTTAAGGTTATTCAACGCGAGTGTAAGACTTTAGTCTTAAGTTATGTTGCAATCAGGGACTCGTCCTATATTGAAACACGAGGTCAATTCATCAAAGCAGAGAGAGAAAAAAAAATCGGCTTTTGAAAATGTATTTTCGCTGACAAGCTACCCTATAAGCTTCTCGAGTGCTTATTAAAGTCTTTGGAAGACAACGGGTCGTGTAAGTGTTACATAATCCAGCGTATGCACCATTTTTTTTTCTCTCCAACTTTTCTGTTTTTCAACTCGGCCATCTTGTTCCTTTCCGAGCTCTGCGCTTTATATTTAATGGAAAGTGTTCGCCACTGCCATGCTTTCCTACTTGCGTGACGATTAAATGCAAATCCTTAACCTTCATTTGAATCGGTGCTCTCGCTGCATCACGCGAGACCTGTTTTCACAGTCACCACGACGTGTGTGGCCTGCAACGAACGTAAATCGTTTCTTTTTTTTTTAAAGGAGGTAAACTTTGGAAGGGCTTGCTGTGGTTGGCCGCGAGGACTGGAGGTTGGGACACTCGGCGTTGCATTGTTGTGTGTACACTACACCGCAGTGCGATGGAACGGACTTCGATGACAAGGTTAGGATAAACTTAAACTCCTTTAATGCCCCATCGCGTTATTTTGTCTATCGTCGATGACGGCCCAGTCGGTCTCGACGTGATGGGAAAAAAATTGTACGTGTCTAACCAGTGCGTTTTAATTCTCTTGTATTTATACCAACGATTAAACGTGAATATCTTCACTTTTTTTGAACAGTGTACACTTCCGAGTGTGTTCTTGTGGGCCTCTGGGTAATGTGGTAAATACAATAGTGCGTTATGAGGCTATATGACCAAATCAACTGGACCTTGCGCCAGTTCTTGGAAGCAAAGCTGAGTTCAGCCTGAACAGTGCCTAGATGAACAACCGCCGTTCATATAACCGGGGGGGAAAACCCGATTGTGTTCCAGGTACGGGTTCGAGTTAACCGCATAGCCATTAATAGGATTTAACCAAACTTCCCAATGTAACAGGGCCCTCCTAAACAAGAGCTTTGAGACTGTGGCTTTCACAGATGCGTAAATCTTATTTATTTTATAGTTCGTGACTCAATGAGATACCTTAGTACGGCTCGTTTTGCCTATTTAGTGTTGAATTTTGGACAGTCGTGCTGATGTGTAACATGGATCGCATAACACACAACAGACTTTCAGTCTGTCTGAACCGCGACCCAGATTCAGTCGTTACAAAATCAATGTGTTGAAATGTTAGTGCGTATGCTCTGTAATTAAAAATATAAATATTTTAAAAATATTTTTTTGATAATCCACTGCTGGTTGAAGGCTGGCCCCATCGTGCCACGTCGGTCTTGTTCGACCATACTTCACCACACTGGGTCAGTTTGGGGTTGGTGAAACGATTGGCCAATGCTGGTCGGTGGTGGTGGTGGTGGGGGGGATACCGACCCTCGGGCGAGTCTTCCCCGGGTAAACAATGAGACCTCGGCTCACGCGTAGATGTTTGAGAGGTCACGGGAGGGGCGGACCGTACGTAAACCCCCTTAGCACATCCTGTTCTCGAGAAGAAAACATTTGTTGCTGCTGCGTCGATAATAGTGCACAGGCAAAAATATATATTTTATTTTACAATAAAACACCACATTTGTCAACAGCACTGCCTTCACAAACTTTTATTTTACCAGGTAAGGCCCACTGAGCTATTTTTCAGAAGCAACCTTGGCCACAAATGACAGCTCAACCAAGTGGCTTATCGCGTGGAAATTAATGCGGCCAAATTTCTCTAAAACGCGTGTTTCTAAATGTGGAGGGAAAACCCGGGAGGAGCCAGAGACAAATCGACGCGACCATGGGGAGAACATACAACATCCAAAACTATACAGCAGCCGTCAGGATCGACATTGAACCCACAACTGCCTGGATACCAGGCGAGGTAGTTCATAACTCGCCACCGTAGTACAACGTTTTGGACACGAGCCCGTCTTCGTGGCTGTGAAGGCCGTGTTATTGACGATTGCGGATGTTTTTTTCCTGTAAGACAGCAGAGATGACTCGGAACTATTTACATCAACATTCGGTCCCAATAAGTTGAATCGATTTTTTTTCTCGTTTTCCTAAACTAAATCTTTGAAATGCACAGCGGCCACTACTGCGTCGTGTGCTGTGACGTTTATGTTGATTTTCTAAAGAGTAAGCATCCCGATTAGGTGGGTTCTGTAACGTGAAGCTTCATTCCGTGTCGTGGTCATTTCACTCCCACTTGAATGTACTTGCTCAAAGTCGAGACAGATACATTTATTTTTATCCACTTGGAGCGCTTTTGGAAGTACCCGCTCACATTTCACAATGATAAATGCACTGCCGCTTTGTGAATCCACGGACGCATCGGTTGTTGGGCCATTCTTCAACCACCGTCTTCGGTGCTGTTTGGTCAAAAAGCAAGGAGCATAGACGTGGGCGCGTAGAAGTACCGCACAACGGATTTTCTGTGCACCAAGTTCTGTTGACCAGGACGTAGGGCCGCAGCTGCCCTCTGTCAACATGTCGTGCATGGCGGTCACCCTTCGCAAGCACTATCCAGGCTCGAAGCCTGCTTGGCTTCCGAGATCCTAGTGAAGTCGGGTGCGTTCCGAGTGATTTCGTCAGGGGTGCAAAAAAATATCGCCGATGATTCGAGTCCAATAAAGTTGCGCGGACAGACAGACGGGTTACGCTCATTGGGGGCACGCAGTGTGGAACCGCGAGGGATGGTGGTGGTGGTGGGGATGGCTTTTGAGAGGTCTTCAACCAGCGGTGGATTTGCACGTGGCTGCTGATGGCTGACCGCGGTACCGGAATGGTCTCGGTGGCGTCAGGAATGTTGTTGTGCTTGGCCTCTGTGTGGAGGAGGAGGAGGAGTGGTGGCCGCTGGTTCTGGGAACAGGGTGAGACTCGCGCAACATTCTGTCTCCTCGTGATCCGCTGTTGATGTCGAGATTGCGCAATCGGAGGCTCCTTCCTCGGCACAAACACGCACGCACGCGTAAGTTCACAAGTGTCAACGTTTAATTAATGCTGCTGTTTGTGTCTTCATCGTTATGTAGCACTCTTCACCTCTCTCCCCTCTCATCTCACTCTACTCCCCTCCACGCACTCTCCTACCTCTCCCCTCTCATCTCACTCCACTCCCCTCCACGCACTCTCCTACCTCTCCCCTCTCATCTCACTCCACTCCCCTCCACGCACTCTCCCGTCTCTCCCCTCTCATCTCACTCTACTCCCCTCCACGCACTCTCCTACCTCTCCCCTCTCATCTCACTCCACTCCCCTCCACACACTCTCCTACCCCTCCCCTCTCATCTCACTCCACTCCCCTCCACGCACTCTCCTACCTCTCCCCTCTCATCTCACTCCACTCCCCTCCACACACTCTCCTACCCCTCCCCTCTCATCTCACTCTACTCCCCTCCACGCACTCTCCCGTCTCTCCCCTCTCATCTCACTCCAGTCCCCTCCCCGCACGATACATGACCGGTACAGATATCATTTGCCGCTGGTGTTATCCATGGCCTGGAATCGTGACGCAGTGCACGAACCACTCCGCCGAAGCTTAGCGCGTAGCGGGTGCGGATCGCGCGTCTCGCTTCGGTTGCGAGGTGGAGGGAGGGTGGCGAAGGAGCGGCTGGCGTGGACACGCGGGAGGGATTCCGCCGCGGTGACCCTGCCATGGGGTGTCTCTCTCAATGTCCCCCGGCGTCTACGAATGTCGTCGTCTTGGAACTCCGTCGGCAACTTAGTCGCCCGGGATGCGCGCGTTCGAGTCGGATCTCGGGACGCCAGGCAGAGGTTGGAGGAGGCCCGGACGGCGCTTGGATGAGGTCCGACGTAGATCGGGGGCATTCTGGGCGATTTGGTGCCGAGCACGTGACCTCCTTAATGATCAGGTTGGCGCATAGTCAGCTCGGGCGTAAAACTTTGAATCCAACACTTTCATATAAAATGCAGACAATTAACGTTTTGAGCAATAACCCTGGAACGGAATTAATTGCAAACGCGTTCCTATTGAGAAACATGATCTTGGACGGAGCGGTGGCGCAGTGGTTGGCGCACCCGCGTGACGATGCCCAGCAACTTGAGTTCGATTCCCGGCCGCCACTGAGACCAATGTCACGAGTGACTTCTGAACCCAGCTCAGGGCGCCCAATTTCAACCCGCACCGACCAGCGTGGTGAAGTATGGCCACACAAACACCGGCGAACGACCCAGCAGGTGGATTTGACAAAAGGCTGTGATTTACTTCGGGGCCGTCCATAAATGACGTCACGCAATTTTGGACGATTTTTGACCCCCCCCCCCCCCTTGTCACACGGCGTCACAAAAAGTCAGACCCCCCTCAAATATGACGTCACAAAGCTCTGCCCCCCCCAAATAAAACATGCTTCAAATCGCTTTAAACTATTGTAGTACGTATTTAATGTGGCGCTGCACTCTGATGTTGTAGGAGAAAACATTAAAAAGTCAATTTAATTAAGTAGAACGTGTTGTCTATATTTAAAGTTGCGCATTTTGATGTGACGTCACATTTCTCACCCCCCCTCCCTTCGTCACACATCGTCACAAATGTCTGACCCCCCCCCCCCGTAGGTGCGTGACGTCATTTATGGGCGGCCCCTTATTGTAGTTTTTTTTGTATCATTGGGGACTACGCTGCCGTGGTGAGATTGTGCGTACAATGGACTTGCAATCCAGAGGTGACCGGTTCGATCTCCCTGCGGGGGGCTACTGAAACAGTCGGCACGTTTCTTAAGGCCCCCCCCCCCGTCATCTCCGAGGCCCTGCATACCCAGCAAGAGACATCAATATGTGGGTACACGTCGCGTGAGAGAAGTTTCAACGGAGGGACGTGTTTCCGGGCCGCACCTGAATCTCTCCCACCTTTCGTCGTCCGTGTCATCAGCATGATGATTCAGGGGCTTTGTGGTGACGAAGCGGGTGTCTCGTTTGGTGGAGCTGGTGACATTTACCGGCGATGTGGCGGACGCGGCCAACACTAATAATAAGTATTATTTTAAACAACTTTTTTTTTAAAAACACGCTTTAATTAAGTGTTCCGTGCTAGTAATGGAAGATCTCCACGACTCCAGGAAGTGGCCCCGAAGCTTGCCACAACGTAAGGGGACCGTGGTGATTTACAGCCAACGTTAGTTGAGCGTGGGACAATTAAGACCCAAGCCGAAACATAACATATAAAAAAATATTGTTTAAAAATATTATATTTTATTTTGTATGATAGAATATAGTTATTGTCATCAGTATGGCATAAGTATACCAAGTTTGTAGTCGATACCACATTGGGAAGCGGGTTAAAATTGAGTTACAAGATTTGAGGATACAACAACAGACAGAGTTCATAGAAAGCGTGTAGTAGTAATAATAATAAAACAACAATAATGATCACGTGGTGAACAATGGGAACGGTTCGCCTCGCCGGGTCCAGGATCGTCCTCCCTTTGCCCGCGTTTACAACGCAAGGTGAAACCTCTCTCGTGCACGGGGGTGGGGTGGCCAAAACCCCACAGCCGGCCGCCTTTGTCTCCGCGGTGGCGGCGTTTACACAACGCAGCAGGTACTCGTTTGAGGCTGAGTCGACCTAGGGGAGACCCAGAACCGGTTTAGATAATCGTCACTGGTGGTGTTGGCCGTGGGGGGGGGGGGGAATCGAACCCGGGTCGCGGGGGTTCGTATCGCAGCGCGTAAAAGCGCTGCAGACAAATCCAC